TGTGACTTGCGAATCAAACAAGCACAGGCAAATACAGGAAGTACGACTCTTCTTTCAAGCAAATTGTCTCAACACCGGTTGCCCGTCTGCTCAAACCGCTCAAACCGCTCAGCACACTGCCGGTCGCGCAGCAGCCTGGCTGAGCAAAGGCAGCCAAGGGCGAGCTTGTGGCCAACTTGTGGAACGTTTTTCCGATTTTACGATCCTTTATCCCACACTGGGCCTTGAGCAAGGGGGAGTTGACTGACTGGTGACCGTTTTTTCGTCTTTTTTCCCCAACCTGGTGTAAACAAAAAGGGACCTCCTTCTAGCGGCAAAGGTAGATCTGGGATGCCGAGTTTGAGATCTCACCGAATCAAGATCAATAAGTGTTGGATCACCTGGATCTGATACTTCACTCTTGTCGCTGGCTTGAAGAAGACACAATCCCCGAAACAGGTGAAAGAAGAGGGGTCTGAAGACCCAGGCGGAACTCCACTTCCGATGGATTTTCCGGGAGTGTCGAATGTGTAGTGACCATTGGAAACATGGCCGAAACCATCCCACCTTGGCCGAAACGGCGTTTGGCCTCACCAGGTGTCTCTTCATGTGGTGAGCCTTGGCACCAGGTTAACCTCTTCCAACCTCTCAACACATCGCGTCGGTGACACGAAGGCGCAACCCGTTGGTCGCATCTTGCTTAGGTTTTACTTTCGGACCTAAACAGTTGGTTCAAAGGTGGGCTTTCCTTATGATTCATAAACCAGCACCCTCCAACAGGTTTTTCTCTGGAGGCTTTTGCTGACTTAAAAGTCGCAGGTGGTGACCTGTTGGAGGGTGCCAGAAGATTCTCGACGTCAAGGATGGACCCACTCCGGCCTCAGAGCGAAGGCGCTGGACTGCACGCACCGATCGCGTTGCCCGTGCCGCGGTCGGCCATCATGCTGCGGGACTCCTGCGAAGGGGATCAACACCGGTCCGGACTGACCCTCCTCGGCTGCCAGCATACAACAACCTCACTTCTGTACACCCTTTCCGGCGAAGAAGGGGCTCCTGTTTGACTCTTCTCATCTACCACCCAGTGGCTTCAGGATCCATGCTAATCTGCACCTGCAAGCCTGCTCACCACCAAGCAACCCACCTCCTCGGAGAAGAAGCAGCTCCGCCAGCTGCGGCGGAAGGCGTAGCAGCCGGCAGCGCCCAGGGCGGCTAGGCCGATGCCCAGGAAGACAAAGGCAAAGGCCGGTAGGTCCCACCTCTGCGTCGAGTCGCTCAGGACGCCACTCGCGCGCGAAGCTGTCGCCAGCATCTCTTTTGAAGGGATGCGAGCGAAGAGAACAGCGAAGGCTGTTACGTGGTGAGGGTCGAAACGAAGGGTAGCTTCACGTCCCATGGCCGGACGATCTTTCCGCTTTGGGCGGGGGATCTCTCCGCTTCCATCCCAAACTACTTCGGGTGGCAGCATTTAGATTCTTCTGTCGAACAAACCGCCCGTTGAGTTGCCTCTCCGCGCCTCACGTCGCGCCTTTACGCGGTCGGATGGACCCCTTCGTGCCGGGGGGGGGGGGGTGCTGGCGTGCCTTTGGCCCACCTCCAGACATTGTGTTGTCGATGTAGGCTCTTGATGAATCAAGACCCCATCACAACCCTTCAAAGGGTTTTGATGTACAAGATTGCACATGCATGCTGGTAGTTGGAGTGGGGGGGGGCGATTCCTCCACCATCTGCATTGCCACCTGACATGCCAAGCAGTCCGAATCTCCCAGGCCTCTGATGCGCCAGCCGGCCGCGCGGCGCCGGGGCCGCACAGAGGGGGAGCTGGAAGCTCTGGCAGGCCTGGACGATGAGGGAGATTGGGGCAGTCGTCTCAGAAAAGCCCAGAAAGGACCTCAAAACCGAAGAATACCGTAGTTAATACATGAAAAAGAGCCTATATCATTGAGAAAACATGAACTACGGATCACGAGTCCGTCCGGTGAAGCTTAGTCCGTCCGGTTTTCGGCCCCTTCCTATGCAATTGTTTATTGGCCAAGTCGGCTGCTGTGGCATTTATCGAACCAAGGGCTACGAGGCCGAAGGCTGCCTTGACTGCTCTGCTGCGAAGTGTTTCCAACTCAATTGCATCTCAAAAGTGCTTTGCCGGCAAATTTATGGCATAGCCGGCACTCCCGCGGTATGGATCTCGACACCCCTACCATGACACCCCCACAAAGGAATCATGAATCGACGGACACCTTCAACCACATCAGCACCCCCATCAGCTTCAGCAAAAAAGAACAAGAAGTCTTGAGCCGAGCCAAAATGGAGCTTCAAGATCGCCCCACCCCAAGCCATCAAAGCTAGGATGAAAAAGCAGAGGCAAACATAAGATTCAACATGATTCCAATGAACAACAAAATGTCATCTCTTTCCCTTTGAGATGTTACCCCTTCTCATGTCAATCCGTGGATAAAGAATATCTTCCACCTGACTCCCATCTCCCCCTGGCCCCCAGAGAATCACATGCCGAACCCATCCCCGCCGGCCTCGCACCAAGCTGTTCGACTCGGTTGCCCCCCCAACAGAGACCAGGGACTGGAACCTCAGTGTCGTCGCGGTGTCGTGTGATGGTGTCGAAGGCGGACCTAGGTGGACCCAGGTGGATGTTGATCTCCTCGAAGCAACGTCGAAAAGCCATGGGGAGACCAAACGCGGACGGAAGTCGGGGGCTCCTGGCCTTACTACGAACGGAACAAGAACGCTACGAGGAACAAAGTGCATCCCTACTAGGAGCAAGGACGCCACTACGGAGACCCTCAATGAGAATGGAGAGACCCTCAAAAAGATAGAGTCTCCCCTTGGAAGAAGTAAGAGAGTGAAAATAGACCTGTCTACGGAGTCTGGGGGTCTCCTTTGTGAATGCGCACCCACATGTTGGAAGGTATGAACCAAATGATCGGCCCTTGTAGGATCATCAGCGATGCCTTTCAGAGGTGACACGAGCTGGACAGAAAAGAGGCTGCCTCACATCGGGCCTCACATCATCTCTATCCGCAGATCATCTGCAGAAAGTATGAACTCTTGGAAGGTGATAGGTCTCCTCTACCTATTTCTCCCGGGAAGTCCAGCAGGGTCTCTTGCCAAAAATCTTCTTGACTCATTTTACTTCGCCAAAATAGTCAAACTGGACTTCCTGGGGGTTGATGAGTTGATGAGTTGATGGCCCCCTTGCATGCCCACCCCAGGTTGACCCTGGAAGGGGTCAACGCCAGGAACGACCGCAGTCGGTTTCCACCAAAGAACTTGACCCTTCAAAGAAAAATGCACCCTTCAAAAGCAAAGAAGGGAAACTGACCTGGACTCCGATCAACATCCTGTCTGCCGCCTTCTTTCTTGTTGACATGACGATCCTGAAGTGGACGGAAAATCTGAGAAAACACAACCAAGGCCGACGAACTTGCCAGAAGCGCCGACTTCCTTGTGTTGCAAGGTGCCAGTTCTACTATATATCTCATGCTGCCTGCTTACAAAAAAACAAGACTGTATTGATCTGTGCCTCTGTGCAGGATTGATCATTGGCGAACTGTTTCAAAGATGTCACAGGCTGTATGTGGTTCTTTCTCAGCCCAGCCGGGCAACTGCTTCTCGGTGCACTTGCCAGAGACGCATGGAAGCTCGACTGTTCTCCAGCTACTGCTGAAGCTATCGCTGCCTTGGCATGAGAACATTCTTGCCACAAAAGCCGGATCCGTTTCTGGGAAACAATTGGGTTGAATCTTTTTAACAGAAGTCCTGGCTGGATGGTCCAGCATCTCCATGGATGGTCAAACACCTCCATGTGGGTGCATTTTATTGATCTACAGTCTACAGTTAGTCTTACATTTGCACACCGAAGTGCTCTCATGCTCTGACCTGTCGGCTCTTCGTCTGTCAACATTCCAGACCATGCACCACCTGCACATGAAGACGAGATTTCAGACCACCAGACGCCATAGACATGAAGCATGTCCAGAGCCGCGCAGGCCCGACGTCGCACGGCTACAGCATCCCATGGCTCTTCCCCGACGGCTTCGCCGGACTTCTCCCATCCTGCCTGGCCAGTAGTGGAGTCCGATGACCATCTCTCCCGTTGGCAGTTCCTCCAGTTCGAAGGCCAACAGACTGCTGAGCCCCAAGAGCTCGCTGAAAATCCTGCGCGCGACGGAGAATTCCGAGGAAAGAAAGGAGAAGAAAAACGCCTGGAAAGCTGCATGACCTTCCTAGTGCGCCGCTGAACCGATCAAAAAGAAGTCACCACCACCATAACAGTAGCAACACGATGAGAAACCATTGAACCCTCCCCCAGCTCAAAGGTGATATCAATTCGACCTTGGGCACTCCTCCTCCTCCTCCTCCTCCTCCTCCTCCTATGGTGTACCCACCAAGCAGGGCAGACCTGCAGGATCCTTTTCGACGCTGACGTTCGCACCACGGAGTTTTCGGCTGTCTCCCGGTCGCGGAGACAGAATCGGACAGAACCTTACTGGAAAGAGGAAGGAACGTCAGCGTCGGATCGAACAGCTAATCCAATGAAGTCAAAATGTCTGTGTATATTTTTTCCATCGCCTTCTCAAGGAGTTTAGCAGGGCTAAAGGCGAGAAATATATTTTTTTTTTAAAAAAATTTATATCTGTGTGTGTTATGTGAGTGATTGTATATGTGTGTATGGATTTGGGTTGAATCTCAGCTGGTTCATTTTGGACACTCCACCTAACAAGCCCGCACGCACTTGCCCAAAAACCAACTCCAGGGATCCGTGATTGGTCCGACAATGTCAGAACGCCATGCCGTCCACTCCCCAGGGGTCCAGGAGCTCTCGTTGCTGGAAGCTGGGACCCCCAAGGCGGACATGAGGCACCTGGCGAGAACCGCGACACGGCGGCGCTGAGTCCCATGGTCCGGATGCTTCGAACGAGGAAAAGGCTGCCCAGGAATCTACTGAGAACGCCCTGGAAGCGAAATTGAGAACACGACCATAAGAACCATCACAGGGGCTGAACTAATCACAGGTCAACAGCACAACCATCACAGCTTCGACCAATGACGCTTCGCGTCGGGCGGTGCCGTTGGCGGTCGGCGCTCCGAGGATCGGGGCGCGCGCTTCGGCGCGCGCCGCGGGCGAACAAGAACCGAGGGCGACGGGGTGTGCCCAGGCACAGCATGGTGGCATAGTGGGCACTGTAGTGCACCAGCCGTAGCTTCGGATCTTTTGACAAGTCCAGCTGCTCGCCAATGGCACTGAGCAAGGCTCCACCACAGCTAGTGCCTGCGGCACCGTGCAAAAGCAGGAGGGTTCCAAAGCAACAGTGAGCACGACCCACCAAGGCACCAGTAGCATCCGAGTAGTGGATGGCTTGGACAACCCATGAAATCCAAATCTGGAGATGTTCTCTCATCCATGAAAGCCATCGACTCCACCATGCACCTTGCCTCCTGTCATCTTTCACTGCCCCTTTTTCGGCCACCCCTTCTCACCGCCACGTCCAAAAAGCGAAAACGCCTCCGGTTCGGCGGTTTTTGTTCGCTTCGGCAAAAAAGGCGCCGCGCCACGCGGCCTGCGATTTGCGGACTAAACTTCTTCGCTTCCAGCCACGCCGCCAGGCGCTCGGCCTGCTGCAGCTGGCTGCCGTTCACCGGGCCGCCGCTCGGCGCCTGTGCTGCCACCGCGAGCTCGTCATAGACGTTCCACCAGTCCTGAGCAGCGGGGGCTGCTCAACATGCCCATCTTTGAGTGCTTCTTTCAACATGGAGCCGAGGCTTTGAACAAGCTATTGAACAAGCTACGGCCCTTGGACTTCCCATGAAACATCCACAGTGCATGCTGCAAGAAGAATAAAACAAGCGTGTGGACTCACTGTTTGTGCGTAGGCAGCTTTCAATGTTCCCTCTGGTCCGTCTCTTGGGTTGAATGTGGGGGTTTGCGCAAATTTGGCGCCTTCCCGCTGTGCAGAAGGCCTCAAACATTCATATCAGTGCAAGCACAACAAAATGCCACTGATTTTGGATGCCACAAGCTTAAACTTAAGCTCTTCCCAACCTCCCAACCAGAAAAAAGGGTCCCACAACGCCCAACGCGTTGGGTCCCGGCATCCGCCAGGGGCGCTGCCGTGCCATCCTCCGTCACATTCACGCGGCCTGCGCCCAATAAAAAGGCCGCGGGATCGGTCGGCGGCACCGCACCCAAAAAGGAGAACATGGTCCTTGGACATGCTGTGTCTATGTTTAATATTGAATGTATACATATATATATATATATAGACTCGCCAATCAAAACACGTTTGCTTGGCCTAGGTAGCCTAGACTTGCTGAGAAAGGATCATCCACAATGTGAATGATTCCATATATATATATATATTATTCTTATATTGGACGCATCAAAGACACCGGAGGCCTTCCAGGTGGGCTTTCTTTTCGCGTGGGAAGGGGCAACATTCGGCGCTTGGGTTCCTCCGGCCTAGCGCTTCGGCCATTTGGCTTCGGAACGCTTTGGTGTCCTCAGCACTCGGGGGGCGCAACGCGGGGGAGAGAATCAGAGAGGGGGGGGGGCATGGATAGTGCGGTCTTTTGCACCTAAGGGCCTGCGGTATGTGTATGGAATGCTTTGTTTTCGCATTTGTATATATATAATGTTCATTCATATTCTCTATGTGTCTAGAGAGGTGGGTAGCATGGAAAGAAAGTCTTAAGAAAACATGATTTTGAACATGTGTTGGAATCAAATCGGATTTCGGAAGCCGAAGAGTTCCGCCTCTTCGACCTGAATGGAAGAAGTCCACCGAGTTCGCCCGCGCGCGAAGCTCGCGTCCGCGTCCATGTCCGCCGTCTGACCACCCAGCGGCCGTTGCCTTGGCCTGGAACTCTGGGGAGGAATACCAATCTTTCAACTTCTGAGCCTGCACTGAGCATTTCGTGTAGCCACGCAGGATGAAATCTTCTCCTGCCCGCATGGACTCAGTATCTTGCCCGTGGTCTTCAGGTATCTCACCGGATGGGCAACCACTTACCTACATGAAAATGAACCTTTGGAAGACAATTTTCCTCTACAAACCAGTGGTGTTTTAGATTCCATGTAAATCTTCCCCCGCCCACTCCTTCGGGCGTTCGGAAACGTCATCCGGTTGGTCAGCGACCTCTGGATGGGCCGCGCTCTGATCATGATGTATCACACCTAGAAGCGGAACCTGCAGTCCCTGCGGTGTTTCGCATGGTGTAGGTCTCCTGACTGCAGGCCCCAAACTGTTCCTGTCATGCCTAATGTGGCACCCGCACATGTTGCGCCCTCGTGCTTATCAGACGCCTGGGGCGTGGCATCATACTGTGCATGTTTTCGTGGCCAAGTGGATATCGATCCAGTGGAGGGCTTAACTTGCAAGACCCATCCCCACATGCCCAATTGGCTGCCTGGCCCCCCCCCCCCCCCCCCCCCCCCCCTCTCTTTTCGGCGCCTGTCGGCCGGCTGTACACCGGCAGCGGCACGGCCGGGGCAGCCTCTGCCACGGAGCCGCCGGGGAAGAGCCCCTCCTGCAAGGCGTAGGCGCTCTGCAGCGTCCGCGCCAGGGCGCTGCTCTCGCAGTGGACCTGGCGAGAAAGGGCCAGGGCCGGCGACCGGTGACGGTTGACGCGTCTCTCAGCAAGGAGGCTTTTTTCGATGACGCTGGGCTGGGAAGGCGTCGGTTGGCCTGAAAAAGGAACCTGCAACAAGGGACGGGCACAATCCATTCTCCACTTCCCCTCCAACACAAATATGTCCACTCCATCCGTCCACTCCTTCACTTGCCCAAACCAGCTTTCTGGGCACCTCTCCGGGCTGGTAGTTCCCGGTGGCGCCGACCTCTCCGCCCAGGCACCGTTGGCTGCAGCCGCCCGGCCGCACGTACCGCTGCCGCAGCGCGCGGCCCACGGCCGCCGCGTCGGCGGCGCCCCGCGCCGTCAGCGGTGGGCCGCCGCCCTGGGTGGAACAGACAGAGGATTTCCTCACAGACTTAGTGGTTGGGATTGGGATCGTTTCAAGTTGAGGATTTCAAAGACTTCGCGCAAAGCAGGCGTCTATGTTCAGGTGCCGTTTTGTAGCTGCAAGTGCCAGCACATTGGCATGTCTGTATGCTCCACTCTGGGACATGAGGCCCACCAGTTTGTACAGGCCCCAACTGTCCGAAAAAGAACGTGTGGATCCATCCTCGGCCTGAACAAAGGTCCAACAGGCAAGTAGAAACTAGGTCAGTCCGTTACTAGGGTTAGGGGCAGTATGCCACTACAACATCTTTCAACCCTCCGCCAACCCAAACAAAGGAGTGTCTGGTGGTCAGTCCGATGCGCCAACCTGTCCCCAACCGAACGAATTCCATTGAGTTCGAAACCTCCAAGCGCGTTCCAAATCGGCCAAACGAAAACCCGCGATTCGGTGCCTCAGACTCCTCCTGCGTGAGCTGGTCCTTGATCAACCGCTCCCGCTCCCCATGCCTGCTCACCAAGACCTCAGCGCACGTACCGCCGATCTAACGGTTGGAACAACACGTTTGGTCAGGCACAGGCCCTGCAAAGGCCCTGCCCTGCCCCCGAGCGCGGCTATCTTTGACAATGATCCTGCAAGGTTTCGTAGAACTTGGGCCTTATTAGCAATGAAAGAATGGCTGCAGCAGCTGGGACAGGAAAAACCAAAGAAAACCTCTCCAGTTTGAAGTATCGAGTCCTTCCCAGAGTCCTTCCCGCCAAGCGACCACACGCTCCAGCCCGGCAGTGCGCTGTAATAGCGCGAAGAGCGTCAGCAGCAGCAGAGCGCTCGCCATGGACCGGGTGGAGCCCTGGAATTTCTTCTAAAGACCTCGACCGGTGTCCTTGGGACGACGGGATGAGGGATGAAGGTCGACCCCAAAAGAAATCCATCCTATAAGCCGAGGCGCCCAACGCCGCGTCAGCTCGATTCAGCTCGACTTGATGCGAAGCTTGGTTTGCCGGTCATGGTAACCCTGCATGCGTCGGACCTGAATATAGAATCGTTTTGTTGCCTGGAAAAGGTACAGTACGTTTTCGGTGGCCAATGCCATTTGCGATGCATACGTCTAGCCTGATGCCCGATGCCATGTTTTGCTTGAGGCTGAGCCGGCTGAACTGCTCCAATCTTCATATCCTAATAGAAGACCCCATGAATTCCTTTGCCTTCAACAAAGCAGCTGCGGCGAAGTCAGCACAAAATGTTGGCCCTCGGACCCTGCATGAACATCTCTGCACATGGGGAAAAGAATCCGGAATAAAACACACCAAAATGATCCAGAATGTGGATGTGTCCAAGACTGGCAAACAGTTGATCGGGAGTTTGCTCTGGCTCTTGCTGTTGGAAGGTCCAGGGAAGCCTTTATCTAGCCTTCGGGGGGTTAACCTTTAATCCTTCATGGCTCAATGACAGGGTGCTTCACCCTCAACGTGAAACACCTTTCAGGATAAGGGGGTTGATGCTCTCTCTCTCTCTCTCTTTCTTGGGGTTCCCCCACATGTGGGCCAGTGACCACCTCTTCCTCACAACTGGTAGAACCTTAAAGCTTGGAGAACTAGAGATAGTGGCACAAGCCAAATGATCTCATATAATCATATAATGTGGATCTCCATCTGTACACGGGGAACATGGGTTGTCCAGACCTATGTGGCTTCCAGTCTGGCAAACCGATGACGGCTCGGGAATCGCCCCTTTCAACGACCGAAGCCCAAAACCCAAAGCCACCAGCCCGAGCGGGATGGGCCACGACAGGCTCAGCCCCCTAAGGCCCGCCCCCTTCTGCAACCCGACACGCTCCAGGGCCAGGCCCCGGGCCTGTAAGGTTTCCTTCGGCAGGGTGAAGCTCATGGTATTGACCTCGGTGGCCGTGGCCGTCGGCGGTTTGACAGACATGTTCTTTTTCGTCCGGATCTCATCAAGAACATTAAAATCTCTTCATGTGCTGAGTTCTTGGGACCAAAAGTATAACTGTATAACATGGCCTGCCGTTTGGCAAACCTTTGAGGAGCACATACTTCTGCAACATGAGCCCCCCCTACAGCAAAAAACCGACACTGCTCATGGACTCGGACACGACCCACGCAGCACTTCTCCCGCCCTCCTCGCTGCCTTCCGCGCTTCTCCGATCCGATCCCACTTCGGCGCCCCCCACGTAGGTCCCTAAGGTGTGCCCGGGCAAATCCGCCGCGTAGCAATGCTCCCGGATCTGGCAGGGCCTGGGGGGAGCCGCTTCCGAGCTTACGAGCGGCTCAGCTGGACCAAGCACTCGATGAGCGGCTCAGCGGCTCAGCGATGAGAGCACTATGGCACTCGATGCTGGACCAAGCCATTTCTAACGACAACTTGAGAAAAAAGAAAAGAAAACGTCTTCAAGTGGCGCAGAAATTCCTTAGCTCCAGGTGGTGCAAAAAAATGTCGTTGGACTTGTAGGGGGTCATTACTTTTTCTCTGAGCCACCTCCAATGGTACGTGGACTGGATCTGCTCGACCTCCTGGCGGGAAAAGCGGACGTCTTTTTGGCACAGATGTCACCCAGGCAGACTCCGAACTCTTTTCTCCTGTGGTCTCAAGACCCATCTGAGACTAGGAGAAGTTGCACGGGAGAAAGTGTGCAAAAGCCTAAATAAGCTCATACTCATATGTAAGTCTAGTCTATAAAATGTTGCCAAGAAACATCTCGTCCCACGTGTTGAGCCAGTCATGGACTCCCAACGGCCTACACGGTCAAATCCGGGAGCGGGTCCGGCATCGGGGCAGAGCGGGTCAAGGGGGACCTCTGCGCCCTCTCCACACGGCTTGGCCCCCTCCTTGGCCGGCAGCTGCGCGCGCTCCAGCGACGCCGGCAGCGGCGGCAGGAACGGCTTCTCCCCCCCGCCGATGAGCCTCGGACGTCGCCGTGTCCCGAAGAGCGTCGCGACGCCACGGACATGGCACGTTGCCACGCTGTGCCATTCTCGTCGATGAGGAGATTCACTTTGGATTACCCCCCCCCCCCGCCCACGCCTCACATTCCTAAGCTCACACGCTGAGTTGAAAAAATCTATCCCACATATCAAGGAGGAAGCCCCGCAAAAGCCACCAACTAGGGAGGAAGGCCCCCGTAACAACACTCCTCGTGAACCCACCACGTTCCACCACCTAAGACGACCTCCACAAACGGTAGGTACCCTCCCGGTCGCACGCGTCTCCCTGCCAGGCCACGTGAGGGGCTTCTCCCGTTGCTGCGCGACCTTCTGCGCGGCTTGGGCCGCCAGCTGGTCCTGACATCGCGGCGAGGATGTCGCGCAGACCCATGAAGAAAGAAAAATCACCAAAAACGCAGCAGGTCACACTTTGGCGAATGCCTTCTGGCGACCGCTTCCTCAAGGGGGGGCACCCCTCTATCCTATCCTCCGTGAAAAGGGGTGCCCAACTCCGAAGCTGGATCTCCCTCTTCGGTTGGGGTCCGGTTGGATCTTTCCCATTCGTGACGACCGGTCGTCCCGCTTCACGTGCGCGCTGCGGTCGGTCAGGGCCCAAGATCCGGTGAAGACCCAGATCGCGAAACGGTGGGAGGCTACAAAAAGGACCAGCGGGGGGGGGGGGGCTCCATTCTCTGTGCATCTCTTTGTGAAACATTAGCTTTACAGCAAGTGAGGTTCAAAAAAAACAAGGGCTCACTTTTGATGAGTTCTCCTTCAGGTTCGCTCTTGGAAGGCACTTCCAAAGGCAACCGGCAACCCCTTGGACTACATGAGATCCACATGGGTGTGGATCTAAGCGCGACGCTGTGCGCACACATCGGGGACCCCCCTTCAAATGATGATGCAACAGATTGAAATGGCATTACTTCTTTTCTAGATTCTACGGGCCGATCCACGCCCTCCAAAAGAAGAAGAAGAAGAAGGAAGAAGAAAAAGAAGAAGAAGAAGAAGACACAAAAAAAAAGGATGGAGGAGGAGAAGAAGACAAAAACGACCGAAAACGGTTCGTGCCTTGATGTTCTTCCAGTGTTTCTGTCTCAAGGTCCAACTATTCCTCGGCTGCACCGACCCGGGATCCGCCCACCCCAAAGTCCAAGTTCATCATCCGAAAAAGACCCCTTTCTGAGCCTAAATGCAATAGGAAGCTTAGGGCTTATATAGGCCATAGGTATTTCTGGGAATTGAAGGTTCTAAGGTTCCACAGGCCAGGGCCTTTCAAAAGCAAATGGGCTCAGAGCCAATGCCATTGACAGTCTCTGTGTGCCGGAAGTCGTCAGGAAATCTCGATGTCCAACTGCACGCAGATTTCATCACACTTCATGGGACGTCGTGGTGCCATGAAGAACACTTCACTCTGAGTCCTTCTTCCTCACTTGTCCCTGACAGCAACGATTAACCACGTAATCCCCCCCAAAAAGGAATTCCAGACTTCAATGAACCAAAGCGTTTGACACCTTGGACCGCAAACAAACCACACCGGAACCCTCCCCTTCACCCGCCCCGCCGCATCGCCGTTCCACGGACGGTCCCCGCCGAGCGGCTCCTCCTCCGTGGCGCGCGGCACGCGCGACGCCCGCGGCGTCAGCCGCACCCGCGCGGGCGCTCGCGCCATGGAGGTGAACTGCGGCGCGGTATGCGGAGAGAGGGGAGGGGACCGGTAAGGGACGCCAGGGACGGGAGGAAAAAGGGAAGGTCCCCCCAAGAGCAGAAGAAAACCAAGCTGCCTGTGGGATGTCACAAGTGTTTGGACATGTGAAACATAGGTGCAGGGGTTTGTCAATTGGGCTGTTAGATCCAACTTTCCGAGGGCTGACGGGGTTGTTGCTGAAGCTTTCCCCAATCAAACCTATGCAAAGCTAGGACCAGGTTCATCTGCCCTTCAAGAACTTTCCTCCAGAAATGACATAGGTCCCCCCAGTTTTTGGCTTTGCACTTGGCACTACCGTTCTCCGCCTCCATGGGCCGCGCCATAGCCTCAGCCAGACGCGCCAACAAAGCGCCAGCGCAGCGGAAGAACTGGTCGAACGGGGCCCCCGCTTTGGGGGGGTTTGGGGGACACCCCCATGCACCTCGAACCGGAGCTGTTGCAGTATTAGATATCCCGAACCGGGGGCCCAGGTAAGACTCTAGATTGAGCGTCGTCGATTGGTCCTGAACGGTCTTTCCTCGTCTTCCAGTCCATCTGGGCACCTCTGGGGGGGCCTCGAGGAGTCTCCAAAACACGAGGAAGATCGGAAAAAAGTGATGGTTGGGGCGTCGATTGAACTTGGAAGCTTTGGGATCTGGATGAAATCCATTTGCTTAGTGAAGATACTCTATGTGCGTCGTATGTCATACTGTTGTACCCCCGAAGACCCTTGCAACACGCTGTTCTGAATTAACCAGGTGGTGAACCTGATGCTGGCACCGATGTTCTGCTTCGCTTGTTGCAGAAGAATCTGGGGCCCCATGTACTGCCCCAAGCAGTTTGGGTGCATGAGGCGAAAAGGGGCCGGAGCTGGGATGGACATCCCGAACTGCGGGCCGCCTCTCAACCCCAAACTCTTGGTATTTCTTCACTAGTTGGGCGCTTCCGGCGCCCCAAACGAGCGTGCGATTGCAGCGCCAGACGAGGCCCCGCACACGGCCGTCTCCCACAGCGCCCTGCTCTTCTCCGGCGCCGAGGAGTGTCGCTTCGCCGGCTGCTCTTCAGCCAGGCGCTGGTGGACCATTCCACCCGGAGCCGAAATGGAGATGGACCCTGCTCTTGGCACGAGCGAGAGAGAGCGAGAGAGCGAGAGAGAGTCCAACGAAAAGGGACCAACTGGTTTTGGTACCGACTTGCGGTTGAGACCTGGGCCAGCCGAGTGCCCATCTGATTGGACAACGTCACGGCGTCCGACCAGGTCTCTTTGGACCTCACCCACAAGAGGAAAGAGATCGTCGTCCTCCGAACCCTCCAGCGGATGCCCTTTTTGAATCGACTCGAGTCAGGCCATGGCCCGGGCCGTGGCCCGGGCCGCCAACGAAAAACCTACCGAGGGCGGCAGCTCAGGGAGAGGAGCCAAAGCATCAAGGAAAGGAGATGAGGAGATGGTCTTGTGGCGCCCCAAAATTGTATAAACGGAAAATTCCCCTGCAAGATCCTACAAGCTGGCTGACGCGTGGGCCATGTCCTTGCCAGAATTGCACCGGCAGAAGTGATGAAGACCCACTTCCGGTGGGCTTTCACGCACCCCCCTACAAAAATCCTACACATGAGAGCAGTTTTTCAAGGCCTGTCTGTCCTTCTGTGAATTGATCATACATTGCCCCATTGGAGGAGGGTGTTCATCCCCAATGGCTCCTCCATCCAGTTGGATCCTGCCCGCCCCGAGTTCCTAGGTTGGGCTTTGAAAACCGCCCCTGAATGGCCGCTGAGCGAGTCGACCCCGGAAGCGGTTTCCGCGTGTTCGGAGCGGTGGGGAGACCCGATTCGATCATCAAGAAAACGAGGAACCCCCACACAGAAATCAAAGACCTTCAACCAGCAGTCACAAAGGAGTGGTTTTTAGTCCCTAAGTCAGTGGATAATGGGCACCCCTATCCTCCAATAGGCACCCCTTTGTGACTGCTGGAAAGTGACATGAGCCATTTTGCTTGCTCTTCAAGTGTTGGGGTGGCAACAAGTGAGAAGAAGAACATGTCCGGTCACTATCACGTCACTGAAGTGCAAGATGACCCCCAAAAGTGCAACCCCTCGGCAAACCGCTCGGCAGTCTCTTCCTCAGCGAATCCTTCGGCGAACTGTTCTGTACCCCAGGACGGCCCGCAGACATGCAGCAGGTGTTCGACACGCGTCATTGGTGACTTTAGATCTGGGAAGCTACTAGGTTACTAGATCACTCAACCACCAAAACGGGACCCTCAAAACATGCTTTCCTTTCACAATTCTGCCTGGTTTCGCGGGCAGGTTGATCCAACTGTCTGAATTCTGAACTCCCTGGACCATGTTCTCAACCGTTTTGAACAGGGTGCCGTGTACAGCAGGGTACTGGAGTCCCAATAAGAACGTCAACCTCAAACAAGTCTCCTCTAACAGTCATGAAACATCTGCACTTGAACTCACACCCTTCGCGCAAGAGCCTGGCACATCCAAGACTCACAAAGACGCCGCATCGTCCGGGGCCGCACCCAAAACCGGGAGTTCCTACGAGTCCGATTCGCCTTGGTCCCTGCTCCTCTCACATATCCACCCAGAGGGGTCGTTGCAAGGATCTGATTCCCCATGAGGATGTGTTCCGGTCGCCCCCGCATGGCACGAAAAACACGGCCACACCGCCACACCACACCACGAGGGCAACACACCTCGCCCCCAATGGGTAGAAGGCCAAATCATGGAAGCATGGAAGGCAGCTACAGACCCAGGTGACCCGGGTGCGAAGGCCAGCTGCTAGTATCTTTGGTTGGTGTTTGATGGTGAAGCCGATGAGGCAGGGTGTTCAAAGAGTACGCATGTGCCTTGGGGGTTTTACTTGGCTGGGCTAAGTGGTGACAAAATGCTTTGAAGTGCTTCAACGCACCTCACCCTCACACCATACTCTCAGACACTGGGCCGAGGAAATAACCTTGACGTTGACTGACTATTGAGGACCACAAATCTCCATGGTTGACTGTTGCTTTCACATGCTATGATGCGGGCTCCGCTTCAATTGCTCAGGACCAAACCACTGAAACGCAAAACACTGATCTGCCGGTGGCAGGACGCAAGTCGGCCGCAGATAAAAGCAGCGGCTTGGCGGAAGTCGCTCTCTTCGAGCTATTTTCTCGCTGGCAGCTGAAGAGGTATGTCCCCTACTGTCACTGACATCATCTCACGTGGTCGAAATGTGGACACTCCAAAACATGTCACTGGATGATGGTGAAGAGGAAAGGCTGTCCTAGAACTGCCGTGCAAAGATTGATGATGAGACTGGTCTCCAACTGTGACACGCGTGGGGGGCCAAAAGCATGGCAATGGAACTGCCTCATTGACCTGCCTAAAGAACAAAGGGCACAACAAAGGCACCTTGAGCGTGCTGCGCGCTGCGCTGCGCACAGCTCGTTTCTGACGAACTGGTTGGCTGGTGGACGACAAGAAAGGACTTGCTACCAGCTACCATCACTGCTTCCTGAATTCCTCCTGAATCGACCTTCTCCCAAATCCATCTCCCGCCTGGTATCTTCCGGCTTGCTATGTTGACTAGCCATACAAATCATGGTTGCGGATCACAACCCTTTGATTTTCCCCTCGCATTAGCGGGACACACCCCACAGCCGCTTGCTGAGCAAAGGTCAGCTGTAGCCCATCAGTTGTCGTCTCCCTGGGCAGAGGCTCGACACCTCTACAGTCCAATGTCTTCTTTACCTCTAACTTTGGTCTTCAAAACGCTTCCTGTTACTTACATACCATATATATATATATATTACATTGCGTGAGGCTTTCATGAAGAACATTGAAGACTCTAACACCTACTGAACCTCGAACCGTTCGGGGCACCCGCACCGGTCGGCCCACGTTCGGCAGGCGGTTCGGCAGGCGGCTTCTCCAGTTTCGCCGGCTCAGAGAAGAAGTCCAGTGTCCCGGGTCCCACGTGTCCCGGTGTCTTCCCGGTGTCTTTGGGATGCGATGAAGTGCAAGCCCGACACACACTGCCTAGGCCTCGTCATCGGTCACCTCCTGGTCGGATCGGGTGGATAAGGAAAAGCCTGCGGTTTGGGGGCGAGTTTCTACGTTAGGCTAGGCCTTAAGTGTTTGATATAGGCATTTCACGTCATTTCACCATGAACCTTAAGAAATGGGATGAAATGGTAGGGAAATGAAGATCTCTTCTCTGGCCTTCAAAGCTCTGAGTAAGGTTACAGAGCACTCGCAAATTTCAGCCAAGTACGATGAGGCGAACCCAAAGAATTCTTCCTATTTGATACCACAAAGATGCACTCATGAGTCATGCGTCATATGAGTTTGAGGCGACGGGACAATGGTCTCTCATGTCTTCAAAACCCTCGCTCCCTCAGCGGCCCCATTCACTTTCCTGAAGCTGAACCGCCCGTGCTCCGTGCTCCGTGCTCCGTGCTCCGTGCGCCGTGCTGCCGCGCCGCACCGGTGCTCCTCCTCGCTGCACACGCTCTCCGTGTCGTGCCGTGCGTGGGCGACGCTCTCGAGGGGCACGCTCTCAAAGACCACGGCGGCTGCGGCGAACCGGCGCAGACGGCGAGTTCCGGGCGGGTGACGCAGGGCGGTGCTGACGGGGCCCCGGTTGATCCTCCCAGGCTCTCAGGAGCGATGCCTTGGAGGATCCTGAAAAAACGGGTCCGCCATCCGGGTGGTCAAAACTTTTGTTGCTTTGGCCAGGGCCCACTGAAGAAACATCTTCTACTCCTAGGTCCCTGAGGCTCGTCACAACTCACCAATACTGCCGAACAGCGGTCTAAATTGCAGAACTGAGAGCTTTCTGGGTCATAGGTCGACACCAAAGGCCGGGCGCGGCGCTCCCTTACAACACCGGTATCGGCGACGTCGTAGCGTTCCCCCGCCACTGTGGGCCCACCTGCACCCCCATCTGATTGCTCCACGGCCTGACACGAGCTCACTGGGGAACACTCGGGATCGAGCTCACTAACTAGGAGACATGTTCTCTACTAGAGGGGGGAGGCCCAAAAGATTTCCAGAGTAAACAGAGTAAACGGCAAGAATCGGCTGTTCGCTGCAAAAACCTGCTAAAGCCCTTCCAATGCACGCCCAGTGCGTCAGTGCAGTTTTTTGGTGGGTCTTGCCTGAGAATCCTAGACCCTTGAAGCGCCAAGGGCCTCCCAAAAAGCCTTAACTTAAACCCAAAGGCACCGACGCTTCCACCAAACCGCTTGTAGCCTTCACGCGCCCGATGCACGCGAGGGGTTCCGCCACGGAGCCTGCGGATCCGCCGATCCACGTCACGGGCCTTCTGGATCAGCTCCTCCGCCTCGCGAGCCAAGCTCCCAGCGCCCTCCTGCCGAGCCACGGGGTGAGCCCGCGTGACGGGGGGGGGGCCCCGCCGCCTTCCAATTCACAGGCCGGACGCCTGCAACAAGGAGCCATGGCCGATCACTGGCACAGCTTGTCCCACGCAGGAACCAGCACAGGAGGCTTCCATCTATGTTTCCAACCCGCAGGAAATCGGTCCGGTTTCCGCCATCCCTTTTGGGGCCGACCCGAATCATGGACCAGCGGACCGAGTCGTTCGGCGTCGTTCGGCGTCCCGAAACGTCAAATTGTGCCCGCTGGCACGGTGTCGCCTCGTGGAAACCCGGCAACCGGATCTGAACAACGCTCGTCACAACCGAAATCGAAAAAAGTAGTTTGCCGGTCAGGCGTTCAGTGTTTAGAACTTTAGGTTCAGTCGGCTCTGGACGCCTCCGCGGTGTCATCCCGCCTCGCCCCGCAACTGGTTCTGCTCCGCTTCCTTCGCAGCCTCCTCGATGAGCTTCCTGCAGGGGCGAACACAATGGCCGCAAAACATGGAATGATGAAAGACCTGGAGTCAGAAAATGCAGCCAGAGGTGGGTTCGGTATGGGAGAGGGAACCCGATGCACCCCATCTCTCTAAATACGCTGCCCAAAACACATGGATACACTTCATACACATGGCAATTCCACAATTCCACCTTTGCTAAGTGCATCATTCCCCATGCCCTCAGAACACTCTCGCCTCCCACTCTCTCGCTACCAGCGGGGTCCTCGCACTTTCAGTGTGAGGTGCGTACCCGGACACGGCGTCCTGGGCCGACCCGACACGACAGACGGACCGCGCTGAGAAGGTGCGTGACGGACCGTGGACCTGCGACGATGCAAACCCCGTCCGACTCGGTCTGGGACTCCGCATATGTACCGATCACTTGGGGGATCATGAAAAGGGGTCAATGTATGTAAATATGCCAGTCCCATGGAGTGTCTGGGATAGGTCATCTCTAGACTGCTACCTGCTACCCCCATCTGGATGTCAACAAGTGGACCAAGCATCGGCAGCAGATCGCAGACGAGAACGGAACATGAATGCCAAATGGCGCAGATGTCCTCGACCCCCTCGGAGTCGACTCTCTCAGGGTGAGTTCGAACAGCTCTGAGCGCCCGAGCAGCTCTGGAAGTGCTCGGGGTGCTCTCAAAGACGCAGAGCGACGCCGCCTGTGGTTTTGTTGGACCAGCTGCTCATGGCCCATGGCCTTGACACGCCTTGAGCAAATTCAATAGCCCCGCCGCCCAACGCCAAACGCCCATCCACATGGCCAAAAGTGGATGCTCTCTCTATTCCACAAGGCCCCACCAGGGTCGCCGTCCCCACGACGTCCGGGTGCGCCTCCGGGCTCGACGCCTCTCCGGACTTGTACTCCGCAGTGCCTCGAGGCGAAGCGAAGCGACACCGCAGCGGGGGACGGTGCGAGGCGAGCGGCGCGGTGCCTCGAAGAGGCGCCCCAAGCAGAACTGCGAGCTGAGAGTTCAACCGTGCTCAAAAGCAAAGCACTTCCAAAACCAGTCATCAGTCACTGGTTCAAGAACTGAACGGCACATCAGTTGGGCGTGCGGCGTGCCCCAATGAAGGAGTGCCTTTTTCCCCATCTACCAGCCACGTGCGAACTACCTGTCACCGGCCTCTTGCTTTGCAAAGCTCCGGTGCGGATACGGGGATCGGGTTTCGACTGGTCCGGCGCCACAGGTCGCTGGTGACACCAGGAATTCTTGGGTTCTCCACCCGGCCACCGATCCGGTCCCCACAGATCCGCTAACATCAAAGCCCCAAACGTGGAGACACAGTGGGGAGATGACCAATTCTAATGACCCAAACTGAGCATGTGGAAAAACCGAGCGAGTGTGCCCACTGGATCTGCAGGGCTATGGAACTCTGAGTGAAACAAACCTCGAAAGCGGTGGCACCAAAAACACCACCAGTCTCAGTCTCAGCCATCCACGGTCTCAGCCATCGGTTTTCAGACTTGACCTCAAAAGGCCACGAACAGTTAGTGACCACATGGTCACGCTCGAACCGGAGCCCACTGTTTGGGCGCTTGGCACAGTAGAGTTTCAGAACATCCTCGTGGCACGTGTCCAGAGTCGCTGACCTGACCTCTTCAAACAAAACAGCAAGAGGTCTTCCATCCCTCGGTTTCCGCCCTGAGTCCCAATTCCCCGGTCTACCGGTTCCCCTGCCTCACATGGTTGGAGCGGAGGTTGCTCGCTAAGCCCGCGTCCATCTGGCAGTCGCACGCCAACATCCACTCCGTCCCAGCCCTATGCCGCCAAACCGCCGTGTAATTGCTTCGTGGTTTCAATTTTCTCTAAAACCACCCCTAATTAAGATGCACTCTTGCCGAGCATCCGGGGGAGTGAAGGAGATGGAAAAAGAAAAAACACATGTGCCATCTGTGCCAACACCATCCAACAGGTCTTCTTTGGATGCTCAGAAGGCCCATCCACGATCCCAACGGCTCCGCCTTGGGTTTGGGCGGCTGCACGGGCGGGGGCGTCGGCGGCTTCACGTAGAGCTGCCGGTTGAGTTTCCGGATCTGGCAAATCTCCGGGGTTGCCTGGCTGGCCCGGGAGGAGAGCGCCAGGTGTTGGAAACCATACGTCGGGATCTCCTCCCTAAAACATCACCGAAATACTGTAGTACTGTCATCTTGTTTTGGGTGGTACAGGAGTTCTCCCACACCCTCTGGTCACAAGCCAACAGAAAAGAACAATGGATGAGTTTCTCTGTAATTCCCTCCAAGTCAATGACCTCGTTAAACTTGTTCATATAGAATTGGAGACAATGACCACCATGTACTTTATTAGAACCTAGTTTTACTTGGTCCCGCTAAAGTTCCGTTAAAGCCAAAACTAGTATTCAGGATCTCTTCAGGTGGTTTGGAAGGGAATCAAAGGCGATTTGGAGTGATATGTTTCCAGGTTTTCTTGGTGGTTTTGAGGCTAATTATTCGACATTCAGAGCAAAGAGGTCTGGCCAAATGTTTAGCGTAACAGGAGCGTAACAATTCCGTAACAAAGCCCTCCAGGAGACTTCTAAACTCCAAATGATCTTCCAAAACCGTAACAGGAGCGTAACTGAAGCGTAACAGGTCTTTAGTCCCCTTAATGTTTGCAATATGTTTGCAATATATAAGGAAATCGTGACCAGGATCTTTAAATGTTGCAACGTTTGATGTTTTTTGACGGTTGTTTTGTTTGCATGAATTGACAGATTGGGTGCATTTTTGGAGGTTCTATGTGCCGTTAGTGGTGATGTTGAACTCGCTTGGATAAAAGGGCTTGGGTGCCGACAAACAAAAGGTACTCGTAAAACTTGTTCTTGTCGAAAATACTCGTTTAACTTGCACTTTGGACTTGCAGGGGTTAGTCTTATGTACTGTAAGTATATATATTTAAGTACTAGCCCCTCGTGTGGGGGTGGCTGGTGAACACCTCTCATAATTCACACCCTATCCTTCCTTTTCTGGACCACTTCCTATGACAGGATGATGGAAGATGTATAAGGCACCGGCGCCACTGGCTCCACCAAAAACGTCCAGCTCCCCGGAGGCTGTGAAACATCCCGTTGGCACCGGTGGTGCGACGGCACGAAGAGGTATGCCTGCCGACGTGGCTTCTGGCCGTTGGGCCCTGCCACCCGAAACGGCTAAAAACACCAACCACGAGCCCTCGCCCTCGAGGCCCCAGGAAAAAGAAGAACGACCGCCTTCTCCTTGGCAGCTTCTTGAACCAAGACAGGATCGCTCCAACATCGGTTGGCCTTCTTCATGGCCTCACATCGGTCCAACATAAAGAGGTCCAGTGTCAGCTGCGGAGGTCACTTTGAGGACATGGGGTCGGGCTGACCGTCGCTGAGGGACTGGGACGTGTCCTGGCATTGGCAAGGGGGGCTTGGTGTCCCAAGACCTATGATCCCCGTTTCTACTTCCTGGAAGCGCTTGGTATAGAGTATAGTGTATAGAATCACTGCCAAACGATTGGGAGTTCAAAGCATCACAACACACAAATTATTGTGGTCTCAGAGTAAATGATGGCACAATCCCCCAAAAGTGGTTTATAATGTGTGTTCATGGTTCTGCTGATGATCCTTCCCTAGGAAAATCCCAAAGTCAGCCGACAATGCATCGCTCAACCGCCGCCTTCATAAAGACCTGATGCCCCGTGTGGGTGTATCTCTTCCTCAGCCGGTGCCCGCCGCAGGGATGGCAGAACTTCAAATGCTAGTATAGATGTATATACTGCTCCTCAAGTTGCTCGCACACGTGAAAACACAAACTATCCCTGAGAACGCTTTCTCTCCAGCTCTTCGTCATGCACTTTGAAACCATCTCTTCTCCATCTCAAGAAAAATATAACTATATATATATAAACTATAACATTATATAACTATAATTAACTATATATCCCCGCACGCGAAGAAAAAAACAAACAAACAAACAAACTCGGCATCAGATGCATGAAAGGCTGCCAAGGATCTCCTTCAGCTCCTCGTCACCCATCAAGTCCAGCGCCAGCTGCGTGCTGCGATGCACCTGGCCCAAGCGCCTCTTCGCCTGGTCTTCCCAGTTGTCCTCAGCGCCATGCGGCGCGCGCGACGGAGCGAAGTTTGGCGACGCGGGGCGGAGCACTAAAGGGACAAGGAAGCGGAGGACTCCAAGCAAGAAGCAGGACAGCAAGCCTAAAGTCTAAGCATGAAGCCAAATGAGGCACCCATGTTCATCATTTCAGCACCGCCCAACCATCAAACGGAAAGACTCTCCAAACACCCACCCCACCTTTTCTTAGCATCCCACCCCAGACCGCCGCTCTGTCCTGTTCCCACCACCCTGTGAGCCCCAACTCCGGTCCCGTCCCGCAGCATTCCCCCCACATCTTCTCTGCCAGACCTCGCCCCCCAGACCCCGCCGAATTCCATCCCGCCGAGGCGCGTTCAAGGAGCCGAGGCGCGCCACGCGCTCGGCCTCGCGGCCGCGGAGGAACTCCGAGAAGACGTCGGTGCGCTCCTGGCGACGACGACGAGACGACGGACGACGTCTGTGGCGCGAGGACGATCGCTTCGGTTTCGGAAAGTTCCGCCAAAAAAGCAGTAACCACACTCCAGGATGGTCCACAACTCGACAACTCCCTTCCATGTCTTTTGGAAAGCCGCAGTAGGCCATCCCCTGAGATTCCTCGACCACGCGCGGCCGCATAGGAACCTTCACCACTGCCTGGCGCTGCTCAGTAGGTCCTGGGAAGCGTGGCAATCACCCAAGCTGCGTCAAGTTCGAAACCCTCAGCCTCCCTTTGCCTCAAAGAATCCCCGTTCCCGCCTGCGGGTTCCAGAAAGAACAGCCAGGTCAGCCAGCCACGCTCCCCCCCCCAGCAGATCTGCTCACGTCCGTCGTCGCCCCCGCGCGCCTGCGCGAGGCCGGGCCCGTCCCGCGACGGGCGCCGTGGCGGCGGCATCCGCCTTGGCGGCCTTCGTCTCGGCGCGGGGAGGCACGAGCGGTGGCAGCGAGACCTGGAAGGGCGGTGCATGTGGCACAAGCATCTTGACAGAAGCAAACTCCATTTACTTCCAACTGCATCTGTGCCAACTGCATCCGACTTCCACAACTGGTTCATCGGAGCTCCGACGGCCATGAGTCCTTCATGCGCCCCGTGCCCGACCGCCCCAGCGCGCCGTCTGCCCGGGCAGCGAGCTGGGCGCCATGTGCGCATCGTACCCGCTGCCGGCGGGCTCCACGCTGGGGCCTGCCAGGGCGGAGCGGCGGAGCGGCGCCCCGGCGGTGGCGGGGTGAAGTGGGAACAAGGATTCCGGCGAATCGGCGGAGCCAGCAGACTCGGTGCAAGGATGCATGGCGTAGAATGATGAGTGGGTCTTCCCAGGGCCCCATTTTCCAGGTACAAGTTGGGCTTGCATCGTTTGCAGTAGAACACGGAACCCCCCCCAAAAGACTCTGTGGAAGAGAACATTGACCAAAACCCCTTTGGTTGCAGAGTCCACTATCATCCATCATTACAACACCCACCCTCTTGTCTCATGTTCCCACATCCTGGGTTTGAAACGCCAAGAAGCTGGTCTGCCACCTCAAAACAAACCAACTCCCATCTGGAAGAAGAACATCTCAACCATCACCGGCCCCTCAGAGCTTCGTCAACCCCCGCTCTGCCCCGGCCTGGGCAAAGCTCCATCTGGATCGACTCCGCCACCAGCCCAGCGCAGCGCAGCGTGCGCGCTTCCTCCAGGATGCTGTGGGCCTCAAAAAAGAAATCCCGGTGGCTGCGGGGAGTTGACACCGAAGTCACGAATGAGATTGGAAACCGCACGAATGTTGACACCGAGTCCGCAAGGAACCCGTGCTGCTATGTATGCTTCGCTTGAGGGCAATTCAGTGAAAACATACTGTATCTCGTCCTCTTCCCAAGAACCCCCAAACTCTCCAAGGCTCCGCGGGGTCGTCACTGCAGGGCTGGGCCCATGCGATCACGCGGCTCAGGGTGTTCTGTGCCTTTTTGATCGCCATTAACGCGGCGCGGTGCCGCTTCGCCTGTGGACCACAAGAAATGGAGGAAAACAGTTGGGAAGGGTTCACGTGGCTTCACGTGGCTTCTCAGGATTTCCGCACTCCATCCACCCGCTGTCACCTGGGCAGACTTGCCTCTTCCAGCTGAGGCCTCTGTAGATCATGGTGCTCTACAGCTTACAGCGGATGTGCTCGACACCGACGGCCTCCGAGAGGGTGGCGGCCAAGTTGATCCGCGCGCGGGCGGTCTCCACCGCCATGGCTGGGTGGTGGTACTCCGCCTGACGCGGTCTCCGTTGATTCTCCAAGCAATGCCAGTCCAAGCAAGGCAAACACGTGGAATGAATACGAAAGAGCGATCAGTTAGGCACTCCCTTGTGGTTTGAGCTCGCGGGTTCCCTCAAAAACGCCCTCAAAAAGCAAAAACTGCACGGGAGACTAGTAGCTTCTTGTTACTGGTGGCACACGAGCCGCGGCCATGGCCATGCCCCGGTTACATTCGTAGCGATGCACATGAGAGACTCCGCGCCGAAGCTGCGGAAGAAGCACCGCGCCTTGGAGGCCATTCCCACCGCACGTTCCATGGTGCGGATCGCACGGTCGAGCTCTCCCTTCTGCCGCAGGCTGGCGGCCATCTCGGTGTACCTGGACCGACGCGCGGTCCAGGATGGGCATCTGAGGTCCCAAAAGAGCAGGCACATGCTTGGGATGGGGGCTGGGGATGTGTGGGCGAGGGGCTGCGAAGCTAGGGCGTCAAAGTTTGCAGACATAACTAATTTCAACTCCTCAACCCCCACACTACATCGCGTAGTCACTACACCACCGGGCACTGCGCCGCCGCCATCATGAGCTCCTGTATCTCAGGGCTCGGCACCGGCACCCGCCGCGGGCCCTCCCCATCGCCAGACGGTGCTGTCCCGACGGGTCCGGGCGCCATTGGGGGAGGTGATGGTCTACATCGTACAACGGCTGCGGGCGTCTGGACTCCCGCGGGCGACCGGTCGCGGGTCTCGCGCGGTCGCGGTTCAGGTCGGTCGCGGTCACGCGAGGCCGGAAGATCGAAGAGAGAATCGACTGAGAATCTAAAGGCCAGGTCGTCGAAACTGGCACAGGGCATCTTTGCCTTTGAAGAAACACAACCAGGTCGTCAAACCTGGACCTGCCAAACAAACAGACACGAACTTGAGAAGATTCTGGAAGTTCTTTTTCAGGGCACCCTCCAAGTTCCACCGGTGTTGCTGTGGTTCGTCACATGGATACATTCCTCGGATACCTTCGGGGTCACCTCCTCTCTGCTTCAGGAGGATCTCCTGGCGAGCCTGGGGGCCCCGACTTGCTTCAGGGCAACTCTCGAAGACCGACGAGGCCGCACGCTCCGCCGCGCGCCTCGCAGCCCGAGGGTTGCTGCCCCCGTGCTTGAACGAGAGGCAACGACGAAGAGAACCGCGGCAGCGAGACGGTGACGTGTCAGAGCCAGCATCGCTTGGTGCATGGGAAAACGCTCAGAAAAGACGCCACCCGTCTGAAACCCATCTGAGGCCAGGTCTTAAACAATGGATGTGCCAGCGCCCCACCCTCGGCCGTGCGCACGGAGGGCCGCTTGGTGGCCTCGGGCCTCGCCACGGCGAAAGCGGTTGCTCCGACTGAAGTGAAACGAGATCGACAAAGGGCGTGGAAGGACGAGGAGGGAGCACCAAAGGAAAGCATCCTATAGCCATGAAACTGTTCGAAGACAGGTGACATGACAGGCAGGTTCAGGTAGATGCAAGACACCCAATCGAAACTGATCCTTGCGTAAAAACACTCATGTTTCAGGGCTCTAAACCCAAGGGGGTGGGGTTCAATGGACGGTGCTGAGCACATCCGAAGAGCTTGAAGAGCTTGAACGTGAACAAAAACACACATTGTTTCGCCGTGTTTTGCTATTTTGTACTTTGAACTGTCCATGTCCTTGTAGGTCCTCTCGCTGTTTGGGATTGGTTGGAAGACGGTTCTCTCGGCTCCTGTGGAAGAGTCGCGTCTCACCGTCTCGCCGTGTTCGCAAACGCCCCCGTCCCGGCGTCCCCAATCACGCCTGGAACCATTCACCTCCTGCATTCACGAACCGTGCCGGCGACGGATGATGCGGCTCTCAGGTGCCCCATCTGCGCCACATGAGTTCCATCGCCGTTCGGATCAGGTCCCACAGTGCGTTGTTCTGGTGGGAGCTCGTGGTCGGTCGGGGCTTGGAGGGCGGAGCGCAGAAGGTCCACCAAACCATGGTGCGGCTGGTGCTACGAGGGTCCCGAGACGCCTCCCCCGAGTGCTGGTGGTCTTGACAACGTCCCTCCCCCACGTCCTTCACCTTGGCCTCCTCAAGGGTGCCCACAGCCATGGCGCTTCTGAAGTCCGGTTTGGCAGATCGTTGGACCACGGGCCACATCCACTACAGCTCTACATCACACTGCCTTGGTTCAATTCTTCTTGTTTCCTGTGGATCGTCTGAGGATTGTGCAGGCGGACAGGAGAACAACGCTGCGATCCGGCGCGGGGATGGCCCGAGCTCAAGAGAGCTCAAGAGAGCGGCCCGAGCTGAAGACACCTGGATTTACCACCCGTCTCCCTTATGTCGCTGATGTCCACTGAAGCCAACAAACCCGGAGAACCAGGGAGAACCACCCTGTCTTTGGTCCCAAGTCCCGCCTGGTTTCCGAGGTCATTGCCACAGCTCCTATTTCATGCCAGTCACTCCAGGGACCTTCTCGACCACAACTCTCCAGGTGGAATGCCGATGGACGGATGAAACGGATCTGTTCGAGGCATCCAAATACTTTTCTATAAAGCATAGCTGCGGAACCAGTATCGTCTTTCCATGTCAATTAACCTGTTTTTGCCAAAGTATGTATATATATATACACATATATATATATATTTGTATATAAAGTTGCACACTTCTCTTGCAGTGACGTCACCCAAAATAGATCTTGCTTCGGAGAGGGATCCAAATCCGGTGCTTCAGCATCCACTCTGAGGCCCATCTTTTGTCGCGACTTCCAGGTTCGAAGAGGGCCTCACCTGAGGCCAACGAGGCCCCTCCAGGCTCGAAGCGGGCTCTCATGCACCTGTCGAAAGTGCAGTGCCCGGGTGCAAGATCCTTTGACCAAAACTTCGGGGAGTGTGGCCGAAAATCGACATGGTATGGACTATGGGGAAAATCAGCTGAGTTTCAGCACCTCTCTTTTTAAAACGTAAATTGATCATCGTCCACTATGTTCAACCTCTTCAGTGAAAGAACAAGGCCCTCCTGTGATCATCTCGCTGGTGCTGGGCCCATTCTTCGGCATGTCCTCCGCTCCGGCAACGGCGACGGCTTTCGGCCGGTTCACAGCGTAAGACGCGCAGCGGTCGGAGCGGCTCCGGGTCCACTGCTTGATACTATTGATAACAGCTTAATAATATCTTTAAAAAATGACCTGGTTGGTTGATTGTGATATTTATCCACTTCCAGTTATTCGCAATCCCACAAGGTTTGGGAAATGATCCCAGCCGTTCATCTCGTTCGCGGAGTTTTCTCTGCCACCTGGCCCCAGTCGGCGCCTCGAAGAACGGCCCACGTTTTGGGAACTCTGCCATGGCCTGCACATGTTTGAGCGGCAAAAAGGCGATGCAACCGTTCATTTTCTTCGCACGAATTGGATGCCATCGTTGCGTTGCAAAACAGATCTCGTAGCACGAGGACCTCATGGGTTTTCTGAATCAAATGCTGGGACTGCCACCGGCCACGGGCGTGGCCCAGTTACCCCTCAACGTTCGGCTCCTCCCAATTGTTCTTCCGCAAACGCCGGCAGGACTCGATCAGGGTGGTCAGCGAATCCCAGGTGTACTGAGCTTGCAAAGGGTTCACCTCAGCCAACTGGGCCGAACCTGACTCATTTCAGAACATGGAGGGGCTCAAACACACAGGAACTGAAGATCAAGTGAATAGAATTTCACGGCCGGAAAAAGTAGGACCCACGGCCTTGTTCAACAAGCATTCTTCCCAAACAGCTGGGCATCATGCCACGCAATCAGCCACACCTGCTGCGAGGTCCTTGCCTTAATCAATTTCCCGGCCCTGGTGACCTAGTGTGGGCTACGATCATCACAACACACTGTTGGGGGCAACTCTGAGCACAGCACTGGGCGGCTCATCAGGAACTAGCTGCGGACATCCAGCAGGAGCTTTGACGCTCTCCACGGTGCCTGGCATACACCATTGTCGTCGAAGTGTAACACAAACAGCACGGGTTTTGCGCCCTTTTGCTCCTTGATGTTTGGCTTACTTACCGACCACGGGCAGAGAAAAGTGCCTGTGGGATAGCCGGCGCCAGCCATTGGATAGTTGCAGCGTTCGATGTCTGCAATCCTCCGTGCAATGCCTCTGTGTGCCTTCATCAATGTTGCACTGTTGGGTGTGTTCCGCAAACACACACACAACACATTATGCACACGTGCATGTTCAATACATGTTATGCGCCCTCCAACTCTTAAGCCCAAAATGAGGATTTGACGATGTCAATGCAAATGTCAAGCACCAACTCGCAAGTTGGACGCAAACATGCTAGGCCGCCAAAGGTTAGTATGCACTATATTCTGCATCAATCCACACCACCCATCGTTGATAGCGTCACTTGCTCTCATCATCACCCACTCAGTGACCCTTTAAAAATCCGCCAACCAGAATTCCCTACAGTAGCTGACATGGCTGCCACGGGCAATAGCAACCATTGGGGTGTGTTTGCGCAAAAACAAAACAAATAAACAACAAAAATGCAACCTCTCCGTGGGAATGATCGCAATCGCACCACTAATACGAATGGCTTAGTAGCAGTTGGTGATAATATAAAAACAAAAATAGACTGTATCTATGGCGTTCCAACATGATTTCTTTAAAAGGAAAAGGGTTTTTTCAGCGGTGGGGGAGGAGGGGGAGGAGGAGGAGGAGGCGTAGTCCTAGTCGTAGTAGTAGTAGTAGTAGTAGAAGTAGAAGTAGTAGTTAGTGGTGGTGGTAGTAGTAGTGGTAATAGAAGCAGCAGCAGCAGCAGGAGGAGGAGTAGTAGTAGTAGTAATAGTAGTAGTTGTAGTAGGAGGAGTAGTAGTAGTAGTAGTGGTCGTGGTAGTCGTAGTAGTAGTAGTAGCAGTAGTAGTAGTGGTAGTAGTACAAGTAGCAGCAGCAGCAGCAGCAGCAGGAGGAGGAGGAGGAGTAGGAGTAGTAGTAGTAGTAGTAGTAGTGGTTGTGGTGGTGGTGGTGGTGGTCGTGGTAGTCGTAGTCGTCGTAGTAGGAGTAGTAGTAGTAGTAGTCGTAGTCGTAGTAGTAGTAGTAGTAGCAGCAGTAGGAGTAGGAGTAGGAGTAGGAGTAGGGGTAGGGGTAGGGGTAGTAGTAGTCGTCGTCGTCGTCGTCGTCGTCATCGTCGTGGTGGTGGTAGGGGTGGTAGTAGTAGTAGTAGTAGTAGGAGTAGGAGTAGAAGTAGGAGTGGGAGTAGAAATAGGAGTAGGAGTAGGAGTAGGAGTAGGAGTCGTAGCAGGAGTAGTGGTAGTGGTAGTGGTAGTGGTAGTGGTAGTGGTAGCGGTAGTGGTAGCGGTAGCGGTAGCGGTAGTGGTGGTAGTAGTAGTAGTAGTAGTGGTTGTGGTGGTGGTGGTGGTGGTAGTAGTAGTAGTAATAGTAGTAGTAGTAGTAGGATGAGGATGAGGATGAGGATGAGGAGGAGGAGGAGGAGGCGTAGCCCAAGTCGTAGTCGTAGTTGTCGTCGTCGTCGCAGTCACAGTCGCAGTCGCAGTCGTAGTCGTAGCCCTAGTAGTAGTAGTAGTAGTAGTACTACTACTACTAGTACTACTAGCAGTAGTAGTAGTAGTAGTAGTACTAGGAGTACTAGTAGTACTAGTAGTAGTAGTCGTCGTCGTCGTAGTAGTAGTCGTAGTAGTAGTAGTAGTTGTTGTTGTTGTTGTTGCAGTGGAAGTAGTAGTAGTAGTAGCAGTAGCAGTAGTATCAGTAGTAGTAGCAGTAGTTGTTGTTGTAGTTGTAGTTGTAGTAGTAGTAGTAGTAGTAGTAATAATAGTAATAGTAGTAGCAGTAGTAGTAGTAGGAGGAGGAGTAGTAGGAGTAGTAGTAGTAGTAGTAGTGGTGGTAGTAGTGGTAGTAGTAGTAGTAGTAGTAGCACAAGGAGTAGCACAAGGAGTAGCAGTAGTAGCAGCCGTGGTGATGGTGGTGGTGGTGGTCGTCGTCGCAGGTCAACCACGAAACCTGCATGTCCACTGCATGTCTGTGGGTTTACTTCAGTGCTTTAAGGATCCTCCCTTATGGACAACCCCGATTTCAGGGGAAATGCACCCGAATCTTTGTTTATAGGGGCATGTACCATGACTGAAAATTGCATGCAAGTGTTGCAGCAGCAGCAGCAGCAGCAGGCGGCGGCGGTGGTGGTGGTGGCGGTGGTGGTGGTGGTGGCGGTGGCGACGGTCATGGCAGTTTGGGATCATTCGGCATTGGTCAGTCTTCACTACGGTTTCCAGGTTTGCCCTTGGTAGGCAGGGAGGCCACAAAATCACTAAGTCAGGAGTGTGGGTCGTGACGGCACAAAAAATCAATCACTGTCAAGTTTATGGTTGGTTTCAGTTCCACATGCCACATGCCCAGCAGGCCAAAGTCGTCACGGCTCATCATGTATTCAGGAGGCCTATTTTCTGGGCAGCTGTCTACATCGGTCAGCTGGCCGCGGTGCCAGCCCAATCAATAATGCAACGCACGTCACATGCTCCACACATGCATTAACGCGCCCGGTGGCTGCAAGGATACCATTTCAAAGCCTGAGGGCCTGCTCGGGTTTGAAATTTGTGGTTGGAGCCAATGTGAAGGGAACCAAAAACCTGTGTTTTTTCTGCGTTTGCCTCCTTGTGCGCTGTGCTTGCCGGATGACATGTAAACACCGGCGGGCTCCAGCAGCCCAGTGCGACCAACGTGCTGCAAGCAACTGTTCGGGACCGTGTTCCAAAACGACCTACCAAGCACATCCCAAGGAAACTACGTGGAACAGGTGGTTGGTTCAAGTCCCAATTAGCCAGTGGTTCTGGTGCAAGCGTGGCGCCCACCGGCATCGGGGGTCTCCAAGATCAGGCGTAGCATCAGCAGCATAGCGGCATCGCGTCAAGTCGTTCACTGAGACGATGTTTTGCACGTTTTTTTTAATGCAGCCAAGATAATTTATGAATTCTGAATTGCTCACCTGCCTCACGGGCGTATGCCAAGCTACATTCAGTAGATGTTGTTATTTTTTGTTCCTTTTTTCCGCAAAAAGGGTGCCGCGTCAGGCGGGCCGAATGGCCAAATTAGGCCGGCAGGACCGGTGGTGGGGTGCGAGGCGGCTGGGTTTGGGTGGTTCGGTGAGGGGGTCTTGTGCGAGTTGCTGGCCCAGGGGTCGGGGTTCACCTTCGACCTTTGTGCGCGGGGCCGAATGAGAGTAGCCACGTAGCCTGCCTGTTTCAATTACCAAATCAACAAAGCGACGCGGTTTCCACACGCTAACTCGGGATAGACCCGCTCCTTACCGATGATCAGTGTTCAATCTGAAAGCCAAACATGCTGGACTTGAGATCAGCCAGCCCTTCGAAACATGGGGTTCATACTTTTGCTGGCTGGCCGCCCTTCAACCGTCGACACCTGGACAACATACGAACAGCACAAAATAGCTAACTTTTGGTCCCACCTGTGACGACGGCGTGACAGCAAAAGGGTACCGAAAAAAATCGCAAAAAAAACTGTACAGCTAGGCCATGAACCATCGGCGGCCCAAAAAAAATGTGACTGAACCCCGAAGCCCCACAGGCCTTTGGAAAATCAGGGGTGTCAAACCATTTTTTCCTCACACGCTTTTGCCGCAGACCAACAATCATGCACGTTCATTCTCCAGAACCATACGCACAAACAAGATTTACACCTGATGAATTCTGGTGTTGATGACTTGTCACAGTGGACGCACTTATCAGCAAGTCCTTGGAGTGGAATTTTGACTTATGGTGTGTAAGCCTGGACTTTGTTTAGCGCAATGTTTGCTGGGCACTTATCGAGGACAGGCTGAATGGATCAGGGGCGGCAAGCGGTTTGCTATTCAACGTGGTGGCATGGGAAAGTGAAAACACCGGTTACAAACGGATGGGCTGAACCACATCCGATATGCGGACGATTTGATCCTAGGGCAACTTTTTTCCGCGTGAGGTCCAAGTCGAGTTCGCTGCTAGCGAGGGGCAAAAATCCAAACGCCTTTGGGGAATTAGATGTTTAGTGTGGGGGGAGCCGGGTGGCGGTTGGGGGGGGGCTTCGGCAAGAAGTTGGCTGAATGTGGGTTCATTACCTTCGGTGTTCGTATGATTGGCGAGGCTTTGTGAGGTTTCGATCAAGGATGCCGCAAAGGCTTGCTGGGCAGCATGTGTCAGGAGTCCTGACCACCTGGCTATCAATTCTGTTGCGCTAGCAGGTTGGAGGAGTGCCGGGGCTTGGCGTGCTTTGTGCTGCGCCAGTAGTTTGATGAAGGAGGCTGTCTCCTCACTCCACCTGCCTCCCACTTCCAACCCCAAAACCACCAGTTTGCATCGTCGGCAGGGCCGGCCTGCAATCAGATAGGGTGATTCGTTGTCAAAATTTTCGGCAACACTGCACCAGAAAGCGTGGCTTGGTCTCTAGGATTGGCCACAGAGCAAGCGTTTTTCCAACTTTGACTGTAGTCGTCGAGTCGAATGGGCGGAGCGCGCAAGCGCTTCTACTTTTTACCGCAGGGATGCTCAGCGTGGTCCAAAGCGGCTGGGGCGGGGGAACTCCCCATCCAAACAAGCCAGGGTAGCGTCACGAGGTGGCCAAATACAATCAACGGTCATCTCGAGTGGACACCTTCAATGGACAGATCCGGCTGGCATTTCCCAATCCAGCATTCATGCGACACCTTCTTTCTTCCAATGTTCGTTGTCGGGCCTAACCCATCCCGCAGCTCTGCGTAACATCGGTCGCCTCAACGCATCCAATTTCAGTGTGCCTGCCTTCGTCGTAGGAGTCAATTTGACGTGCGCGAGTTCTTCGGTTAACAATTCTATCATGTCAATCAATAATCTGCCATTGTTGTGTTGGACCCCATCTCAGCAGCAATGTGGGAAAAGAATTTGGCCGAGATCCAATGCGAGCGGCTTAACGAAGTTTGTTAAATGCAATGTATCGCGCCACAACAATAAATCGCAGGTCTGCAAGGCATAGACGGCAGCACGGGTGCACTCAATCAGTCCGGCAAAGCACTCTAACGGCCGCGCGGCACAATACACAAACGACGTTTTTAAAACGGACATGGTAAACTTGGTAAACACCCATGTGTTGTTTCCTTTCTACATAAACCATCAATATGACTGGAGCAGCCCCTGGAAT